CACACACACACACACACACACACACACACACACACACACACACACACACACGGCTCAGCTGCCTGTGAAAAATCACACTCACAGACATATGTATGGTCTGTTACTTGTTTTTTGGCTTGTGCACAAAATCACCGACCTCCAGACTTGTAATCTGCTTCTCTGACCTCCAGTAAATTCAACCTGGTCCTGGTGAAAAGTATCTGGTTTTTCTTTCACACAAATTTCCATAATGAGGAACGTCTCCATGAGAAAAAGCGAGGTGCCTCTAGCTCACAGACACAGTTCATTTTCTTTTACGGCAGCAAACAGCTTTCTTCTTTTCATGTTTTAAAATGAAGTCAGGTTGTAAAAAAAAAGGCAGAGGTCTGTGAAAACCTACATAATAATAGTGAAAAAAAATGAGAAAAAATGTACCTCAATAGAAAATTGTAAATACTTTGAATATTTCAACAATCTCTGTTCTAAAAGGACAAGAGTGAAAGCCAGTATTGGATGGCTGTGATCTTCAGGCGGTCCTGCATTAAAAACAGACCTGATTCTGTTCTGGACTTCACTGCATGGGCTCAGGACCACCGTTCAAAAATGCTGCAGTCAAAGCTCATTTAAAATGGTCCGAGACCACGTTATATTAAATTATTCCCTAAAGAATTTATAATAGAGGTTTAAATCAAGTGGAGCATCATGGTGAAATGCCATTATTCTACACTTGTGAAAGTAAAACCGTTGGGCTTCATTTGGACACTCAGGCATCAATTCTGAGTTTCACACTGCCGGACAAATAAAAAAAGGTCTGAGGCAAAGTGGAAAACTGTTCTGTGGGCAGACAGATACCCTCTGTATTGAAAAGAAGAGGGACCATCCACCCTGTTATCAGCACATAATTCAAAAGTCTGCCTCTCTGATGGTATAGAGCTGCATTAGTGTCTCTGGCATGGTTTGTTAAAGAAATATGAAATTGTAAGAGCTGTTGTTCATGGAGTTGAAGTTTTGTTTTGTTAATTGAACACTATTGTTTGAAATTATTTTTGGGGAAATACGGGCAGATATGAGATTTTTTTTTCTTCTTTCTGCTGCCTTTCGTTTTATTTGTGATTTGTATTTTTTGTGTAATATGTTTTGTTTTTAAATGAAATGAATAAATAATAATAATGCGGAGCTGACCGCCTGGAAACGCACTATGCAGTAAAGTAATGTATACACAAGGTTTTAGAAAAACACAGCCTCCTATCCAAACTACATCTTTTTAAGGAAAGGCCTTGCATATTTCAGCAAGACAGTGTTGAACCTCACACTGCATCCATTACAACAGTATGACTTTGGAGTGGAAATCCAGGCTGCCTGCAGTCCAGACCTCGCACCAATTGAAGACATTTAACGCATCATAAAATAAAAAATGTCTGGCAAAGACCCAGGACTGTTGGACAGCTAGAACCCTACGTCAGACAAGAGTGGGACGATATTCCTCTCCAACAACCATCAACTGACCTCTGCAGTTTCAGTTTATTGTTAAAAGAAGAGGGGACGTTACACAGTGTGAAACATGGCTCTGTTTCATCGTTTTGAAGATGAAAATTAAACAATTAATTAAAATCAAAATGACATTATTTTAAAAAGGGCATTTTTTTAGTTTAAACATTTGTTTACTGTGTTCCCTTGTGAAGCAACAGTCATTGCTGCTCCAGTTATTTTCACATGGAGTTATTGTAAGTGTTGCCTGTTTTCACAGTGCGTCGGCTCTAACATGAGCCTGACAAGACTAGGAGAGGCGCTACTTATTTACAAGTACCAGCATTCAGCTGGTGTGTTTTCACAAGGGTCAGAACTGAGGGTCAATGATAACAAGAAGCAGTTTGAAAGAAGAGGGATTTGTTGAAAGCAAATTCCTCTCTGTCACCTCACATAAATCTGGCTGGCCCGTGAATTAGAGCCTGGGCCGGGTCTCTGAGTGGCACTCCATGGTGGAGAGGCAGACCGGCCCAAGGTCACAGTAACAGGAAAACATGAAGGTGGGGGGGCTGATGGGCATAAAAGTCATGGTGCGTCTGGTCAGGTCAGCATTTCAGGCGTGTGTGAAGGCCTTTAATGGCTGATTTTAATCTCAGATTACATCATGTGGGGTAATAGTGGTAATAAAATACTGTAAGTGTTTTTACAGAAGACTTATCAGCGTGAGTTGGACAGGGAAAATAACTATTATGCTTTTGTTTAGGGAGTAATGTCAGCGCAGCGGTGATAAAATGGTTTAATTTCTACTGAGAGTCAACACAATAGTTTCTACCAGCTCAGGAAGTTATGGCCAGCGTAGACAATTCACCCGCATTATTCACTCTTTTAATGCCTTTGACTGACCCCACCTCCCCACCCCTTAAAAAAACAGATGTCACCATGAACATTAAGCAGAACCCAGCGCTGCCTGGCCCTCATCCAGCTTCTAATTATTATTTTGTCTATTTAAGCCACGAAAACTTTGTTGTTGTTGTAAATCGGGTTTGTCATTAGAGTCGCTCTCCAGGAAATAGACATTAGGGCTCAGGTCTAGTTGCCATGGTTTGATGGAGACTCAGTAGGCCTTAAAACTCCAGATGTATCCTTTCATTAATGCCAGGCACCGGTGAGCATGAAACACACCACACTGCACACTTGCTAACCACAACTCATAAGTCTGCTGCTGAGCCGAAGACAAAAAAATACTCAATTTTACAGGTAATTGTCGCCCAGGTAGACAATAATGTTGTTTACTTTTTGGTCTGTGTGTGTGTGTGTGTGTGTGTGTGTGTGTGTGTGTG